CAAATACAAAGCAACGTAACAAAAACAAAACAAAAACAATATAGTCATGTACTGGTATGTGCGTGAGTGTGTGCGTGTGAGTGTGTGTATGCATGTAAAGGTAACTTGGTGGACAGGTCAGAGTACATACATAAGGAACAATAACAGTCAATAAATGAAGCGTGTCACAGATATAGACAAAACATATAGAAAGAAACCAGTCAGAGGTAGGGAGTAACAACAATGCTTATTAATGTATGATAGTAAAAATGAGAGTAAAAAGAAAGAAAGGACAACAGTAATAACTGACAACAATAATAATAAATCACAAGTGCTACACCAACTACTACTACAAAAAGTTACTTATATTACAACTACTACTGCTTCTACTACAGCCACAACCACGACTATTACTACTACAATGTCTACTAATACTGATACTACTACAACGACTACCACTACTGATACTACTATAGCGTTTGCTACAACTAATACAAATGAACCGCCAACTTATCCAGCACATTTTTACGCAGCAGATGCCCTTTTAGCCGCAACCCATCTCTGGGAACGTTTCAGGATTATAATTATTATAAATACCCAAAACACAGTTCAAAACATGCTATTGTATATTTGATAACTAAATTCATGTACATCCATCAGCTTATGAGTTACGTACTGTTTCCAGAACCAAGCCGCTACTTATTTAAATTGAGAAAAAATATTGGTTTAGTCTTATTATATATTTGTTTATATATTAATAGTTATAGTGTGCACATTCGTCTCTGGACTTGCTGCATCATAAATACCAAAATTTTAACAATTAATAAAAATTAATCATTTTCTGGCCGTCTAATATTACGCATGGATATATATATATATATATATGCAATTGTGAATTTCAAAAGTATAACAGCGCTTTGAAAACATTTATAAATACCATTCCATGATTCTCCCTTATTCAGTTTGATAGAGTGCTTGGACCCGGAATCCGCTTTGCGTGACGTCACACTTAACAAGCAGATACTGTAGACTTCACAAAAAAACGTCAAGTACTGTTTATTTCTTTTTCATCTGTGCTTTAATTTGTGTATAGCCGTTTGCATATTTTTGGATCATTTAGTATATTTTATGCAGATTTTGTGCTTCCCTATGAAATAATTCCAAACAATGAATTCTTTGCAAACAGTTACTCTAGTCATATTGTGAAATAATATTCATATCGTAGAGAAACAAAACATCACAACGTCAGTTTTTACAATATCATGCAGCCCTAATATTGACCTTAAAATGGTTTCCAAAAAAAATGAAAACTGTTTTTATTCTAGCTGAAATAAAACAAATACGACCTTCTCAAAAAGAAAAAATATTGTAGGAAATACTGTGAAAATTTTCTTGATCTGTTAAACAGCATTTAGGAAATATTTGAAAAAGAAATGAAAATTCACAAGAGGACTAATAATTTTGACTTCATCTCTATATAAGGGAAATTAGGGAATATTTAGAAAGTTCTGTCATCACAAATGAATGATAGGTTGATAGATGTTGGAACTACTATACTGTTTTTTGACAGGTGAGTGGGAAACAGAGATGGTTTGAGGAGGTAGAGGTCGCAAGAGGAGACCCAAGGGGAATTTGTATTGGACAGACTGAATCTTTGAGGAAAACATGATATTTCCCTCTGGGATTACAGACATTGTTCCTATATCACAGCACAACTATTTACAGCTGTTATTACTGTTTAGTTTAAGATTACAAAAAAGGCCATACAAAAAATGCTGGCTGTGTTTCAAGTGAATGTGAATCTAGCATATGGGAATTTCTGACTCACAGATACTAGGAAATGACGATGAATTTAGACTAAACCTAACTCTATTTCCGATGAATTTACATGTACTCATTTAGCAGACTTTTTTAATGCAAAGGGACTTACAAGGATAAAACAAGCACTTCAAATCAACAGAGAATAGCAGAATATAGATGCTATTGTAAGTCTAAGTTCCTAAATATAAAAGTCTAAATTATTATTTTTTCTTCATGCATATGGAGAGAAGAGAGTATTAATTTAATAGTGAATAATACTTAAAAGCTCCCATTACAAACTGCTTTATAAATAAACTGTGTGTATATATCATATTCAACATTTAAAGAGGATCAAAAGCTTTCATTAAAGTTTTCCTAAAACCCGAATGTGTATTGAACAGTATCAATATTTTTACAGTAACATGCACTATCAATATTTATAAATTTATTATGTATTTCAGAAATTATTTACTTGGCATTTATTTATTAGTTATACAATATCAATATTTTAATGCTCCTTAAATGTTGACTATATATAGTGATCCTCTTGAATGATGCATACATATATACATGTATGTATGTATGTATATATGTATGTATGTATGTATGTATGTATGTATGTATGTGTATATATATATATATATATATATATATATATATATATATATATATGCTCTATATAAATATATATAAATGCTATAAAAACATTCATAACTATACAATGGTTATAACAGATTATAGTCATTCAATCATTTTCCTTCTGAACAGTTCCTTATTTATCAGGGGTCACCACAGCGGAATGAACCGCCAACTATTCCGGCATATGTTTTACACAGCGGATGCCCTTGCAGCTGCAACCCAGCACTGGGAAACATCCACACACTCTCACATACACCACAGCCAATTTTGTTTCCCCAATTCCCCTATAGTGCATGTGTTAGGACTGTGGGGGCAACCGGAGCACCCGGAGGAAACCCACGCCAACATAGGGAGAACATTCATACTCCACACAGAAATGCCAACTAGCCCAGCAACCTTCTTGCTGTGAGGCGACAGTGCTAACCACTGAGCCAATGTGCCGGCGTTGAAATTGAGTGAACAACACAAATCGCACTGTAACAAGCTTCAGCTATATTTTGATTACTAACACTAAAGACTAAACTCTGATGTGCAGGACAACCTGCAGATGTTATAAGAGTATTTAAAACACTGAGATGATGTCATGCTTGTTGATGTCACTTTTGATATTCATTTTTTCAAGTAAACAGATATCTATTGGCATCTTCATACATTTAAATCATTCCTTAACCGTCTAAATAATCAATCAGGTTATTTTCAAGGAGACTATTATTACTGCTGAATTTAATTTGAAATCTTTCTCTGAGAGGAGCATCACTCAGTTTACTCACATCGGGGTATAACGTTGTTTTTATATTCGCACATTCAGACTTTCTCCTTATTAATATAATATCAGAAAAATAATATATGCAAAGTCTAAATAGTGAAAGCATATTAGCATCCAATGACTATCAAAGTACAACAGTGTTCACAGTCAAATAAATAGCGCTAATGTTGTTTTCAAATCATACTTGAATGTGATATTAGACCGAGTATTCAAAGTACCATGATATACAAGTTGTCACTGAACTGAACTTTACCTCAATTTTACCCACTGCCTCCATGAGGATTTTAATTAGCGATCAAACAGGATGCCTCTCTACACCTTTATTCAGAAAAAGCGCACTGGGGAGTCTTAAAACATGCAACGTGTTAAAATAAAATGCACAATTCTCCTAAATGAGCTGTTCTATAAATATTTGTTGAGTCAAAGATTGCAAAATTCTCCTGACTTTAATCTGAATCTTTAATACTTACATCTGAATGTGACACTTTCAAAATTGAGTCATTAATTAATACATTTTCCTTCGACTTAGTCTCTTATTTATCAGGGGTCACCACAGCAGAATGAACTGCCAACTATTCCAGCATAAGTTTTACGCAGCAGAAGCCCTTTAAGCCGCAACCCAGTATTAGGAAACACCCATACACTCTCACATTCACACACATACACTACGGCAATTATGTTTACTCAGTTTACATAGAGCATGTCTTTGGACTGTAGGGGAAACCGGAGCACCAGGAGGAAATGCATCCAACACGGGGAGAACATGCAAACTCCACACAGAAATGCCAACTGGCTCATCCATGACTCAAACCAATGACCTTCTTGCTGTGCCTCCCCTAAAAGCTTTAGCTATATTTTGATTACTAACAACAACTACTAAAATCTGATGCGCATGACAACCTGCAGATGTTAAAGTTATGAACAGATTAAAATACTGAGATCAAGTCATGCTTCTCAGTCCAATGTTGATGTCACTTTTGCTGGAATGTTTTGAATTATTCATTTTTCAAGAAAAGCTAATAGCATCTTCATACATTTAAACAATTCCTTACTTGTCTAAATAATCAATCATATTGTTATTAAGGAGACTAGTATTACTGCTAAATTTAATCTGAAATCTTTCACTGAGGAGCTTCACTCCGTTGACTAAGATTGGGGTATGAAGTTGTTTTTTATTCACACATTCAGACTTTCTCATTAATAAAATAAATTCAGAAAAAAAACATTTAATAAATATTGAAATAAATAGTGGAATCATATTAGCAGCCAATGACTATCAAAGTAAAACATTGTTCACAGTCAAATAAATAGCGTCATACTTGAATGTGATTTCAGACTTGATATTTAAAGTGCAATTGTAAACAATATAGGGAGCATGTCACAAGTTGTCACTGAACGAATGTGCGAATATAAAACCAACTTTACCTCAATTTTACCCACTGCCTCCACGTGGATTTTAATTAGTGATCAGACAGGATGCCTCTATACACCTTTACTCAGACAAGCGCACAGGAGAGTCTTAAAACATGCATCATGTTAAAATAAAATGCACGTTTTTTTCTAAACAAGCTGGAAATAATTCCACAGGATTGCATTGGAATTTTGAGCAATAAGACGCACTCATCCTCACCATCACAATGCACATAACTTGCATTCAACTTCACAAAGTCAGCCAGTTATAAAAACTAAAATCATCCCACTCTTAGTTGTGTTCAGTTATTAAAGAATATCCATGATTTTGCAAACGCACTAAGCGGCGCAACTTTTCCCCAAACTACAGCTGTCACCGCTGCATGTGGAGCGATGCCAAACTCACCTCTGTCCGGGACTGGAGTCGCTTGTTCATCTCGTAGATTCTGTACTCGGGCTGCACCATGTACGGTGAATGTCTCCGGTAAAAGGGTCCGAAAGGGGACGAGTAGAAGGGGTCGTGCGGAGGGTTGGACATGTTGATTCCGTGTGCCGTTTGCAGCAGCGCCGAAGCTTCAGCATCCGTACAGCGCGCGTGCAGGATCTCCAAACGCCGCGAGACCGCAGCAGTCAGTGGCCGCACGCGGAGCGGAGCGCAGGAGGCGGGGGGAGCAGCGCAGGGAGGCGGGCTGCTTCTCATTGGATGGCCGCGGGCTGCACTGGAACACTGGCGAGGGGGAGCCAAGCAACTCCTACCATCCCATAGAAAAGAGACTGGTTCTTCATGTTGACGTTTGCTGACCGTGGCTACACTGAAAAAAATATTGATAGGATTTACTTAATGTTTTAAGGTAAGTGGTTGCAAACAATTTGAACGGGCTGAATTAAAAACAAAAACAAATTATATTTAGCAATTTTCAACTTCAGTTTAAATTCAGCCCGTATAAATTGTTTGCAACCACCTTACAAACATTTAGTAAATCCAATGAACCATTATTTTTCAGTGTAGTTGTCCCACAAGCGGAATGACTATACTACAATGTTCTTTAAGCATGTATTTAAGAAAATTTACATTCAGAACCATAACAAACTTTTGAACATAATTGGTCAAATTTGCTTTATGTTAATTAAATGTGAAGATGTTGGTCAAATAGTGAAAAAGCCAAATGGTAAAACGATATAAATGCCAAAATAAAAACGAGTTAAAATGAGTTTCTGCAAACATAACTGTAAAAAAGATCTATATCTGGTAATCAGTTAATACAGTTAGATGATATAGATATAGATAGATAGATAGATAGATAGATAGATAGATAGATAGATAGATAGATAGATAGATAGATAGATAGATAGATAGATAGATAGATAGATAGATAGATAGATAGATAGATAGATAGATAGATAGATAGATAGATAGATCTGATAGACCCTCATTTATTGGAAATAAGAAGAAATGTTTCAATAAAGTGTTTAAAATAGATTTCTGGGAATGTCAATTTTTTTCCACTTTCAAAAACTGTAAATACAGTACTTTACTGTAAAACTGCATTAACTTATTAACTGTGAATTTTCTTTACAGTTATGTACTGTATATTTGCAGAAACTCATTCTTCAGCAATATATACAGTACATACACTACAGTGTACACTTTTTTATCATTAATATTATTTAATAATCTGCTCATCAAGGCGGCATATATTAAATGTAAAAGAAATTGTTAGTTAAATACTTATTTAATAATTATTTATTTATTACTTATTGTATGTAGTTTTGAATGAAATTATTACTCCAGTTATTATTGCTTTTATTACTATTGCCATTAATAATAATAATAATAATAATAATAATAATAATAATAATAATACATTTTTCATTCATTCATTTTCTTTTCGGCTTAGTCCCTTTATTAATCTGGGTTCGCCACAGTGGAATGAACTGCCAACTTACCCAGCATATGTTTTACACAGTGGATGCCCTTCAAGCAGCACACCATACACTGTCATTCACACACATACACTAAGGACAATTTTAGCTTACCCAATTCACCTGTACCACATGTCTTTGAACTTGTGGGGGAAACCAGAGCACCTGGAGGAAACCCACGCGAACATGGGGAGAACATGCAAACTTTACATAGAATTGCCAACTGACCCAGCCGAGGCTCGAACCAGCGACCTTCTTGCTGTGAGGCGACAGCACTACCTACTGCGCCACGGTGTCGCCCTAATAATAGTAAAAATAATAATAATAATTAACATTAGAGGGATTTCTGAAGAATCATGTGATTTTGAAGACGAGTAATGAAGCTAAAAAATTCATCATTAAAGTGACAGGAATAATGTTTTTAATTAAATTATAAACTACATTGTTATTTTAGTGCAATAACATTTTTTTACTGTATTTTTGATTGAATAAATGCAGCTTTGGTGAGCAGGATAAGCTTATTTTAAAACATTTCAAAATCCTACTCACGCCAAATTAGTGTTAGCATGTATCTCATTGGGCATAAAAGTTGTTTCTGATAAGCTTGAGTCATCATGAATATTTTTTATCACCAGATGTTTCTGGTTGTTAGTTTTCTTAGTAGTTCTAGCTAAGAATCTTAGTACTTCAGGTTGATGTACTGACATCATATCATTAAATGAAATCCATTTATGCAGTAAATAGCATGTTAATCTAAAATTGTACAGTTCTTTCAACCGTTTACTGTCAAATTTTACAGATTTTCTTATTAGTGTATTTAATGCTTTATTTTGGTGCTCATCTTACAAAGTACGATTAAGTAATAGAACAGCATGCATTTATTTTTGAGTTTTTTTTTATGCAAATACAATAAATCACACTGGGATACATTAGAACAAAGGTTAACCATGTTAAGTTTAAGCTTGCTACCTAAATGTATTCAACAAATGTCAAGTTGGGCACTTAATTATTTTATTTATTTAATGACATTTTATGCAAATCAATTCAAGCACACAAGAGGCCCTGCTGTAACAACTCAAACCATGTGCTGTGACAACATGCCCCATGAACTCACAGATAAACAAAGGGTATTAATATGTTTCTCTCCTATAAACCTTTCAGAGAACAGCTCATTCCAATCTGAGGACATTTTTATAATGTTGTAAAATGAAAACAGTTTCCATTGCTGTTGCAGTTTCCTTACATATCCAGAGACACTAATAAGGAACGTTTATTTTTAGCATGAGCTGCATATACTGTATGAGCTGGACGTTATTTTTTCTACGTAATAATGCTGGATGCCGTCAAAAATTAATGTGGTCTTTGAGCTGAAATGCAACTGAAATACACATAACAAAAAACACATAGGCCTAAATAAAACATTACACACATTACAATACATTAAGCATATTTTTTTATTCTGTGTATTACTATTATTAACTATTATTAAAGTTCATCTCATATAATGTCGATTCGGTCGAAAAGATCCTGAAGTAAATCAAAACTGCACTGCACAGATATAAACACATTTCAGCCTACCTTGAATAAGACTGACATGCACTACATATAAAGCACTATTAATCCCACATTGTAAAGCTTTACACGGCTTATATATGTTTCATCTGTACACATGAACGTGCCCTTGTTAATATGGCCCAGTACAGCTTTAAAAATAGCCTCTATAATTTCAACCTAAGACAATATAGCAATTTTATAGCACCATACATCCATATATCAGAATAATGGCCACACCTGAGGCATCTCTGCTTTAAGCTGCATTAGTTGTAAATAGATAGAGCGCAGAACAAATGTGCTCAAATGTACCCCGGAGGCGTTAATAAGACACCCTTTATTTCTTAAAACAGAACACTTTTTATATGTTGTGCATGTTTGTTTACATGACAACTGAATTTTGGGCACCTAAAAAAATTGCAGCCTTTGAATGCATGTTATAATGTGATTTTGTACAACAGCATACTTGTAGTATTCAAGAGTTTCCACCTTGCTGAAAATTCCTTATATAGCTTGTTTGGCATGCTGTCCTGTGAGAAAGCCCTGAGCTCATAAGATCCTCGAGCCCGGGGCTCCCTCCCCTGGAAAATAGAAAAAAATTTCCTCGCTCTGTTATGCATAATTTAGGAAATATTTAAAATGGGAAAAAAAATTAAAAGGGGGGCTAATAATTCTGACTTTAACTGTATATATATATATTGCAATCGTGATTTTTCCGAAGTATTTGTAAACATTAATTATTACCATTCGGTGAGTCTCCCATTCGGCTCAGTTGGGTTTTCTGTGTGGAGTTTGCATGTTCTCCTTGCTTCCCCGTGGGTTTCCTCCGGGTGCTCCGGTTTACCCCACAGTCCAAAGACATGTGGTACAGGTGAACTGGTTAGGCTAAATTGTCAGTAGTGTATGAGTGTGTGTATGAATGAGTGTGTGGATGTTTTTTCAGAGATGTGTTGCGGCTGAAAGGGCATCCGCTGCGTAAATAACGTGCTGGATAAGTTGGCAGTTCATTCCGCTGTGGCAACCCCAGATTAATAAAGGGACTAAGCTGACAAGAAAATGAATGAATTAATGAATGAGCCTCCCCATTCAGTTTGAAAGACCGCTTGGACCCGGAAGCCGCTTCGCGTGACGTCACACTTAACAAGCAGATACTGTAGACTTCACAGAAAACCGTCAAGTGCTGTTTATTTCTTTTCATCCGTGCTTTAATTTGTGTATAGCCGTTTGCATATTTTTGGATCATTTAGTATATTTCATGCAGATTTTGTGCTTCCCTATGAAATAATAACAAACAATGAATTCTTTGCAAACAGTTACTCAAGTCATATTGTGAAATTATCTTCATATCGTAGAGAAACAAAACATCACAACGTCAGTTTTTACAATATCATGCAGCCCTAATATTGACCTTAAAATAGTTTCCAAAAAATTAAAAGCTGCTTTTAATCTAGCTGAAATAAAGCAAATATGACTTTCTCCAGAAGAAAAAATATTGTAAGAAATTCTGTGAAAAATTCCTTGCTCTGTTAAACAGCATTTGGGAAATATTTAAAAAAGAAAGGGAAATTCACAGGAGGACTAATAATTTTGACTTCATCTCTATTTAAGGGGATATTTAGAAAGTTCCGTCATCACAAATGATTGATACGGTGATAAATGTTGTAACTGCTATACTGTTTTTTACATAAATAAATTATTTAAAAATAAAGCTAATACAAATTTCATTTTTTCCCTTAGGGAAATGTTGTCGTATGAATCGACGTTATCACAGTACTCAACAGCAACGTCACATATTTTCCAGTATCGTGCAGTCCTAATTTTTATAATATAGAATGCTGAATGATGTTTTTAATGAATTCTATGATAATTTATTAATGTAATGCTGAAAGCGATAGATACCTTTTTCTCATGGAATGTTGTCAAGCCTAAAATAAAAAGGCTCTCTGAAATCCATTTCCCCGCTTTATGCTAATTAACAACAATAAGACTTTTTATTCCAGTGATGAGTGTGTGTGTGTGTGTGTGTGTGTGTGTGTGTGTGTGTGTGTGTGTGTGTGTGTGTGTGTGTTCTGTCAAAGTGTTTGAGACTCAGCCGTCTCAGACAAAATGAAAGTTCAGCTCCAAACACTGCAGGCACGGAGATAGGTAATTACAAAAAAAGTTGGGGTGAAAAAAATCTATTAATAAAACTCTTAATTAAAAATTACATTATTTAATATCT